TTCAGGGGTTATTCATATCCCAAATTCATAGCAGCATTATTCACAATAGCAAAAAGGAGGGGCAATTCAATTGTCCATTCATGGATAATAGCATAAGCAAAATGTACATTTATGCAATGCAATATCATGTTGCCTTAAAAAGGGAGGAAATTTATGCATATGCAACAATCAGAACAGATGAACCTTAAGCATAACTTAACATTAAGTAAAATAAGCCAGTGACAAAAACACAAATACTCTATAATTGCACTTATGTGGATTATGATAGTAGCCAAATTCAGAAACACAGAAAGTAAAACGGTGGTTTACAGAGGCTAGGGAGAGGTAGCAACAGTTAACTGTTTATTTAGGAGTGAAGAGTTTCAATTTTGCAAGATGATAAAAGTTCTAAAGAATGGATACAAAACAATGTGATTAAAATCATTGAGATATAAAATTAAAAACAGATTGATAGCAAATTTTGTGTGGTGCTTTTCAGCAAAAAAAAATTTAAAAGAACATATACTGTAACAATTTGTAAATAATGAATTTAGCACAGTTTCATAAAATCTTATTAACATATTAAAATTATAGCAAATAGCAATCAATATAATGTTAAAAGACACTGTTTGAATACTAACTGAACTTTTTATTATAGTATATGATCATTACTCCATAATTTATTATTGTTTAAAGAGTTTGCAGAGATGGTGAAAGAGAAGAAAAATGACTAATTTACTTAACTATGGCTCTGGAGCACATAGAAAAGATAATTATTCAGGTTGAATTACTTCTAGTTAGAACCAGCAGTATTTTCTTATATTCTATGAGATAGTGAACATTTGACTACATGAATTTAACTATACCTTGACAGATGGAAACCCTCAGAAAGTTAATTGTTTGCTGATCAAGATATTTACATTGACCTGACACCTAAGCCATCATAGCCGGGGCTTAAATCCCAGTCTTCCTCATGTATGTGACTGATTCATCAGTCCATCTAAGGGAGATCAGCTGAGGAATTGGGCACTGCCCTGCACAGAGGCAGAGGCATGGACCAGATGGCATCTCGACTGCATCTTAAGAATCAGGAGTTGAGCTTCTGAATAGACCTGCCATTGCAATACATGACACTCCTTCATTACTAAGTCCTTTGGAATAACCTGGGCAGGAGAATAATGTTGTACCTAGGTGATGGGGTGGCAGATCTCTCAAAGTGATGTGGCCACACACACATCACTGTGCCTGTCTCAGAATGTAAATTCCTATGAGCCTGGCCCAAGTCATAAGGAATAGCTATTTGTGAACTGTAAAACCAATGCCAATATTAGTGAGAGGCTTTAAAAGTCATAAAATATTCACTGTGTACATAGCCCTGTGCTCAAGTTGTGTGGTAAAGAAATATAAAGCCCATGCCAGACTGTCAAGGGATTTATTATAATTTCATTTTCATGATATGTCATATGATGAATTAACAGAAAACTGGGACTTGAGTTGCATTGTCTGAACAGGGCAATGGCCAGGACATGTGTTGCAGAGAAGCATAACCAAAGTACAGAAAATAACCTAGCTCAGCTTAGAACATTTCCAAGGGTGGGAGGTAAATGCTTAAAGTGGATGTAAAGAATATATCCATATTTCTCAATAGGAGTTTGGAGTTTTTTCCTTTTTTGTAGTTTTGAGCAAGATTTTGCTAATGGCTTAGTGTTAATTATTTGTGGGAATGAGAGAGTCCTGAAGTGAATCTGATAATAGAACAGAAGCAAGGAAAGTTTGGAGGTAGTATATTATCAGAGAAGTATGAGCACATGTAACAGTTTATAGTCAGAGAAAAGGGGAGATGATAGACACATAAGTAGGTAGAGGGAATAATTCTTAATTATACACATGTATTTCTCTAAATATTTAATTTTGCTAAATATTTAGTCCCTGTACAAATGTTGATATATACACATGTGTCTCCACCATATTTTGTTTGAACTCACCATACTCATTGTGACCCAGATTTTATTCCAAATCCAGGCAATGGAGAGGGGACAGGGGCTTAAAAACTAACTCCTTAAGCACATTCACGTGATGTATTAGGGATTTGTGTTAGTTAACTGCATAAAGTGCTACAATGAAACCCATTATTTATATAATTGATATGTGCTAATAATAAAAAGTAAAAAGCATATTCCTTCTGGAGAGAGTGGATCTCATTTTTACGTTATGTGATTTTTAAAAAAATTATTTTATTTTTTTAGTGTAGAATACTTCACAAATTTGCATGGCACTCTTGCCCAGCAACCATAATAATCTATCATTCTAATTTTAGCATACTTGCTGCTAAAGCATGTACTTTTTTTTTGTTTTAGTGGTATTTATTTATTTGTTTGTTTATTTATTTTAGTGGTTCTGTGTTTGAATTCAGGGCCTCATATTTGCTAGGCAAGTACTCATCACTTAAGCCACAATCCCAGTTTTTCTCCTTTTAGTTTATTTTTCAGATAGGGTCTTGAGCTTTTTCCCAGACTGTCTTGGACCCTGATCTTCCTGCTGCCAGCTTCTAAGTAGCTGGAATAACTGGCATGTGCCACTATTCCTGGCCCATAAGTTTATTTTTTTAAATGACCTTTTCTTTTGCTGAGGCCATAGATATGTTAGATCATATCCATTCACCTCATGTTATTATTTCTTTAAAAGAGCGGTATCTAGGCTGGCATGGTGGCTTGTGCTTATAATCCTATCTACTTTGGAGTCAGAGATTGGGAGGATTTTGGTTTGAGGCCAGCTTAGGCAAAACTTTAATGGGATCCCATCTCAATCAATAAGCTGGTATGGTGGTGTACACTTGCTATCTCAGTTATAAGGGAGGTGTAGACAGTAGGATAGCAGTCAGTCCAGGCCTGGCCAAGCAAAGGGGTCAGACAATATCTAAGAAAAAAACTAAGGCAAAAAGCAGTACCTTCTGACTGTGTTCAGCAACTATATGCTTTTCAATTCTCAAGAGACTACCATGTTCCAGTCTCTTTATCAAGCAGTATTTTTGTGTGTGTTTGTGTGTGTGTGCACAATTTTTTTTCTGTATGTCCTTCAGGGTCTTTCATGGTATCCTTTTTATTATTTCATATTAACATAATGGAGAAATGATACAGGTTAACTAACTTTAAAAGTCCTACCTTATCATGTACCAGTACGGAGACAGGTCCTCTTCCAGAGCTTTACTTGTGTAGATCTCTACCCTGTGCCCACACAGCAGTTTGGCAGAGCACAGGGATAGAAGTTGACATCCATGAAAACCACAGGTTATTTTGAGTAGTTCAATCCAGGCTACTTGAAACATAGATCACCTTTGGAAGAGAAAGACTGAGCAATGAGACATTCTCAGCCAGTACCCTTCAAAGAAATGAGGTTAATGATGCCAGGAATTCATTTCCTTCGCTCAGTCATAGCCTAAGCTGGAATCAGCATCCCTCATGTCCATGGACTGGTGAGGATCATCCAGTCCTCACCTATCACAAGACCATGTGGACATCAGGAGGTGGGTCATCTCATACCCAGGTGCTGGCTCACAGGCTGGGACAGAGCCCATGGCCAGGATAAAAGAGCTTAGGGCCAGAGCATCTCCATCCATTCACCTCCTGAGGTGCCTACAGATCTTGTGCTGCTTGTGACCACAGTAAGTGTCCCATGGGAGCAGGGCAGGGGCTTCTCCAGAGGGATAACCAGACCAAAGCTAAAGGGGAAGCTGACCAGGACCCTGGAGGCCCCCAGAGGAGGAGAGTTTAAGGAAGACTGAGGGGTGGGAGACAAAGGGGACTCTGGCACCACTGAAGGTTTGAGGAAGAACTGAGTGTTCCTTTGGGCTCTGGAGAGAACCTGTAGAGGAAGAATTGGAGCTAGGTCAGGGAACATGATGTTCTCTTGGGCTTAGGAAACCCATAGAGCCAGGAATCTTGACAAGTCACACACTTGACAGGATGATTAGGACACCACCAGCCTGAAACTTGACATGCCAACCCCTCAGACTGAGCAGGTGGTGAGCTGAAGACATCTGAGCTGTGGTCTGACCCGAGGAGCCTGGGGTTCAAGTCTTATATCTGCAGGAATTGATGGGCTTATCAGTCTTTTCTTACGGAGTGGGCTTCCTAAGCTACAAATCTCCAACATTACCAGTTTTGCAATATGACCTACGGAGTAAAATTATCTTACAAATCATGATGAAAGAATGACTGCATTTAATTTTTAAAAATAGTTTTTCACTCGGCCTAGCATGGTGGTTTATTGCTGTAATCCCAACTCCTCCAGAGGCAGATATCAGGAGGATCATGATTCATTGCAGGGAAAAATTTAGTAAAATCCCTCTCAGCAAAAATCTGGGTGTGGTGATGCTATAATGCTAGACATTCTGAACCAGAAAAAAAATAGTGCAAGAACTTTTCATAAAATAACTAAAGTGAAAAATGGGCTTTCAACGGGACTAAGGTGGTAGATTGTTTAGTATGGATGAGGCCCTGAAATCAAACTTGTGTACTGCCAAAAAACATTTTTTCCCTGAAATTAACATTATCGGAGAATTCAGAGTCCGAGGAAGTATTTCTTCCTCCAGTTATAAATCTTTGACTCCTTGACACAGTTTGTAATTTTACTTGGTCTTAGTGTACAGTTATTTTATAATATATGAAATTCCTATATGATTTCCAAGAGTTGTTGATGATGATGTGAGGATGATAAAGTACTAAAAATATAACTAGTGGAGGTTTTTTATTGTACAAAATAATGGGTTTCCTTGTACATTTTTATACATGTATGTAATGTACTTTGATCATATTCACCACCCAATTAGGAATTACTTTGTTTTAATAAAAGATTAGCACACAGAAAGCTTAAAAAACAAAGGGAAAAAACCCAAAACTATTGGACATGATGTTTCCATGATTAAAATTGGTAAGCAGGTCAGAGTAGGTAAGGTGGCCTCCTTGTCCTGGGTCTGACTTGTGTATTGTTCTTTCCCAGCTCCTGAACACCTGCCTACTGAGATGTCCTGCCAGCAGAGTCAGCAGCAGTGCCAGCCTCCTCCCAAGTGCACCCCCAAGTGTCCTCCCAAGTGCCAGACCCCCAAATGTCCCCCAAAGTGTCCCCCTAAGTGTCCTCCAGTCTCTTCCTGCTGCAGCCTTGGTTCTGGGGGTTGCTGTGGCTCCAGCTCTGGGGGCTGCTGCAGCTCTGGGGGTGGTGGCTGCTGCCTGAGCCACCATAGACCCCGCCGGTCTCTCCGACGCAGACACCGGAGCTCTGGCTGCTGTGACAGTGGAGGCAGCAGTGGCTGCTGTGGCAGTGGCGGCAGCAGTGGCTGCTGTGACAGTGGTGGCAGCAGTGGCTGCTGTGGCAGTGGACAGCAGTCTGGAGGCTCTGGCTGCTGCTCTGGGGGCTGCTGCTGATCTGGGCCATGAGGACCTCAGACAAGAATGCTGCAGGAACTGAAATGCAGAAAACCTGCCCCAGCCTGCAGCTCCTCCTCCCTTCTGTCGTCTATGTCCTGGGGCTCTGAGATGCTGAAATCTGTGAAGTGTCTGAATTCTCCCCAGATGCTCAGGTCCTAGCCTATTCTTTTGAGTTACAAAGTAATAAAAGTGTTCCCTACTGTTCCTCACCGGGCTCTTGTTCATTTTTATTAGATTCACCCCCACTGGGCTGTGTTAATAGCTAGGGCTCAGCACTGCCCTGGCCAAGACAGAAGCAGGAGTGTGGGTCAGGTGGTGCTTACTTGCAGGGTGTGGAAAGTCAGCCCTGGGTGGGCCTTTGCAACATACAGAGAGGGCCAGTCCAACTTGCAGGTGGCCAGGTGGGATACTGTCCTCTTCTGCAGGCATCTGTGTTTGCTTTAATTTTATATCTGTTATTCTGCTGTGTTTGAAAGAACTATTATAGTATTGCTAAGAGCCAAAATGAAGTGAAAACTTAGAAATGGGTAGTGCTCCTCACAATAGCAAAATCTGGGGACAAGTAATGTGCACATTAAACAGGAAGTAAATGTTTTCTTATTAGATATTCACCCAGAAAACAATGGTCAAACATTCAAGATGAATGGAATGAATCAACTCAAAACAGTTATTTATGTGTTTATATTTCTCACATGAATAGCTTTCATTTGGTAATGGGTAAATTAAATCATGTTTTTCTTTTATACTATGGTTTTGGTAGCTACCAGGCATAACAACCAATCAACTACGTTTTCTTTATTACTTTTATATAGTTATTTAATAGTGTCTGTTAGCAAAATAAAGATTTGGTAAGTAAAATATATAATCTAGTAATGATCTTGTTGCTGTCTATAGAATAAAGCAAAATATTCCTAAGTATAAAATTAATGATGTTCTAAAAAAATGAATGCTTTCAAAAGTGTTATTCAGTAACTTGGTTTTAGAAGGACATAGTTAAAGCTAATTTGAAAAGAAATGATCAAAGATATTTCTACAACTTTACAATATGGGAAATATGCATTACTTTTGATTTGCTTCATACTTTCATTTTAGATCTCAGCCATGTCCAGTCCCAATTTTGATAACAGAACACCCAGAAAACAGATCATTTACTTAATAATTTTCTTACTGAATTGAAATCATTGATATATACAGTCAAAGGCAAGCAGACCTATCTTTACAAGGTTCCAAGCATGCAACCAACTGATCACCCAGATCTAAACCAAGTTACTGATACAATTGTGGGGGAAAATCACATCCACTAGAGGCCTGGACTATGTGACCACTCAGGCCCATTATGTTAAGAATCAGTAAGCTCTGCTCCTGAATAAGACTGACCTGTGTGAGCCAAGACATTCATACCCTGACCACCTCATTACAAGGAAGCCATTTGTAACAACCTGAGCAGGAATAGAAGAGTCACAGGCAGTATCAGGCTAGGTCTCTGCTGGGTGATGAATTTTCTCCATGCATGTCTATGTGCTCTAGGTCTTATGCTGCTGGCCTGAGTCATGTAGAAAAGTTACTTGGAAACTCTATGGAGGACTACTGGCTTCACACTTGCCAAAAAAAAAATCAGTGTACTACCACACAATGCTTCTAGAAGATGATAAAGGATAATGGTAATATAATCATGATGGATTCTAGTGTATATGATATGTGTGGAAACTTGATGAGCTCTAAATTAGCTGTTATTTAATACTCCTCACAAATCATGAAGTGAAAGTTATTAAAAATCTCCCATTTCATAGTAGAGAAGTTGAGTAGAAAAGTTTACTTTTTAATTTTTTTAGTTTTTGCATTCTTTTTTAAAATCTCTTTTATTATCATAATATTGTTGTACTAGGGGTACATTGTGACATTTATAAAATATCTTATAATATATCACAGTTGAATTCACCTCTCTCCATCATTCTCCTTTATAACCCCCCTCCATTCCTGGAGCAGTTTCTATAGTTCTCATTTTCCATTTTCATACATGAGTACGTGATCTTTCTATCACATTCATCTTCTTACACCTTTTCCTTATATTCTCCCTCCTCCCACTGGTACCAACCCTCAGGCAGGGTCTGTTTTACTTTCCTGCTCTTCTTTTTGAAAAAAGGCAGTTTTGTTTGTTTACAATAGCTATACAAGGTATTTTATTGTGACATTTCCAGATAAATGTGCATAATAAACCTAATTGGTTCATCTCCTCTATTTTTAGTCCCCTTCTTAGGGTGATTTCAACAGTTTTACAAATTCTATATTCATTCTTGTATAGAAAGTACATCAACCATATTTGCCTTCTTACCTTCCTTCTCTTACTCCCCCCACCTATTAGTGACCTGCTCTTAAGGGAGTTTAAATAATTTGTCCCAGGTTTCTTTTGTAGGGTCAGAGCTAGAATTCATGATCAGAATGACAAGTTCCAAAGCCAAAAACCTAACTTTCAAGAAATATTTCCAACTGAAGCTGTTCTTAAGTGGCAGGTCTACCTTGGAAAGCATGCTCCTCACACACATGTAGTGCATGTAACATGCTTAGAAACAAACACAGACATAGACTCACACGTGCATGCGACGATAAACTAACTCCCAATGCAACATGGTGGGGCGCATGTGATAAATCTTGACAATGGACTCCTGGAGCTAATGAACTAACATGTCAGGAGGAAAATGGGAAAGTTTAGGGACTAAGCTCCAAGAAAGAGTCTGAAAGTCAGATACCATTAAAGAGATGAAGTGGCAGATAATGGGAGAAATTCACCCACTACTCATTTTCATATTCCAAGTTGGGATCAGCTGCCCTATACCTTATGGAGGCAAGCAGGTGAACAGCATCCACTCATTACCTGTGATAGGAATTATGTGGGCAGCAGAAGGCATGTCCTCTTATGCTATATCTTGTAGGCCTGTCTCATAAGGCTAAGGGCAGAGCCCAAGATCAGTTTAAGGCATTGGGCTAGACTATCTCCATCCACTCACCTCCTGATATGACTACAGGCTCCGTGCTGCCTGTGACTCACGAAAATATCCACTGGGAAGAACTGCAAGGACTTTCCTGGAGTAATGCCAAAACCAGAGCAGGAGGGGAGGCTGAGTAAAGCCTATAATAGAAAGAAGAGCTTGACAGGACAGAGGGAGAGAATGTCTAGAAATTATGGTGAAGGGGGATGAGCATGGGCAGGAGATATTGGAAATAATCTGATGATTTTTGTATATATGCTCCTTGATCTAAACCAAATTACCTGTTGTGTCTCACTCATCACCGAGACGTTAAAACAATTCTCCCTTAGAGAAAAGTTGATCCTGTGGAATTAACACTATGACTTTATTTAATTCTTTACTGGGACTACTGTGCTTCTTAAGTAGTAGAGACTAGGGGAAACATATTTTGGGCTTGATAAACACAGATACCTGTGGCCCTCACTGTTACAAACTATTAGTCAGGTCTGGTGCCTGGACACCTGTATATGAAACCCCAAAGTTTAATAGTGAGTAACAAATTGAATTTCATGGTGCCAGTGAGATAGATGAAGGAGACTGTAGTACATAACCAGGCCAGGGTTCACTAGACCAAAAAGATTAGGTCACATCTCAGCAGCACAATTAGCATGAAGATGCACTTTTTCCATTTGTAAAATGATTGGGATAACCAGCTTTTTTGATGACCCTTTGAAATTCTGACTATAATTTAGTATATATTGTCATATACACATATATGTCTCTCTCTCTCTATATATATATATGACAATATGCATGTTTTAAACAAAGCTACCTGTGAAGTTCCTCCAAAAGGAAATCTTTATTTCTTCCTTAACACAGGTAAGTAAAAATCTAAATTGACTCCTCAATTAGATATTTTCTGAGTAGAAGAGTGGACTTGAGCCAGACTTTGTGAATACTAATTTGCTTTCTCCACTTAAAGGACAATGACTTTAGGAAATTTTGTTAACATATTTGTTATTTTCATGCTTAGTTAGAAGAAGATAATCTGCTTCTATTTTCTGAGAAATTCTTGTGTTCCAATGAGATTGTTTGGGAACACTTGACAAACTATCTCAGGAACAATTTCTCTATTGCTTATCTTAAACAAGCTTTAGACATGTAAGGAAATAAATGATTGTAAAAAGAAAACAAAAGACAGATGTTGTGGTGTACATCTGAAATTCCAGCACTCTGAAGGGTGAAGCAGGAGGATCAGTAGTTCAAAGGCACCTGGGACTAAATAGTGAGTTTACAGTTAGTCTGAGGTACATAGAGAGACCGTATCCAAAAAATAAATAAAGAAAGAAAAGTTATTAAATGTAAATTTTTATGAGCTTTGTCAAATATTTATAGTTGCATACATACAATTAAAGTCTACATATTGTAAATGTTGCTTTACTAATTATTATTTGAGGAAGCATAAAAAAATAGTACAAATCCAAAATATACAAATGACATTAAATACTAAAGAAGAGAAGATATTGGATTAAGGACTCCCTGTAGTTTTTTGCATTTTCACAAATTTGAAACAAAACATCAGGTGCATGTGTCCAGGGAGAGGCGGCTGGCATGGAAAGGCAAGGGAGGGCAACAGTAAATAGCAGACAGTTACAGAACAGGAAGATCCAGCAATATCCAACTTTAGATTTATAAAAGAAACCATGAACAGTAACATAGAGCACTAAGCAAATTGGTAGGGATGGGTGAGAATCTCTGCCGTGGGGCTGCAAGTAAGAGAAACGGAATGTCTCCTCAGGAGATCCAACTGGTGCATGAGCTGGTACTCTGAAGAAGCAAAGTTTAACGTTGGAATTCTGAATTATACACAGGAAGAAGATTCTGAAGAAGGGACCTTATGTATTTCCTAACTCACTCTTGTGGACAAGGCCCCTATTTTAAGAAGCATGGCAGACAAAGGAATACCAAGGAACAGATGGAATGTGGGGGATGAATCCAGCCCTCTGGGAGACCCACATAGAACAGAGATGC